ACTCAATTCCTCCATCATGATGTTTCCTACTCTTTCTACATCTTCAAAATGCTAAACACTAATAAAAGACTAAAGACATAATAATAAAGTTATTTGTTTATATAGTATCCTTTCCAACCATAGTTTATATCATATCCTTTACAACCACACAACCATTGTTGAGTGGGTTGGTGTGTCACTTTATAGGGCAAAGTTGGCACAATCAATAGGTTATATATTATTTGTTATGAAGTTAAATGCAACAAAAAAAAAGAGTCACTTTTATAGCAAAAAGGAAATAAAAGAAAAAAACATTTATGTTCACGTTTCAAATTATTTAATCTTTTCCCTCTTAGTTATCTAGTGGGAGACTATTGAATTGACAATGTTACTACAATTGAAGAGAACTTGACATTGATGGGTTCTACTTTCTACTTTTTGAACATGTTTTTCTTGGGTGAAATTAATCATATTTTTCTATTTTGTCATACAAAAAAATCACCTCCCTATCTCAAGACACCTTTCTCCCTTACATAGCTAACCCCCTAAAAGACATTACACAGCTTAACAACCCTGGCATAACAGCCCCAACACCTCTTAATAGACTATGTATAATTTTTATTCCCAATTCTCCTAACGTAGATCCTCATCGTTACTGTAAAATTGGCTAAAGATAATACTCAAGCGTTTTTTTAAATAAATGTTATTTATGAACGTGCAGAACAATAGATAATAATTATTTAAAAAAGAACTATTTAAAAATGTGACAATAGACCACGCTTCCTTAGAAAAATACTATCTATAGATAATTAATATTACCTCTTTCATTCATAATTTAAAATAAATCAATAAATAACGTTTTTTTTTAAAAGTGTTATCTATTTCAACACAATAGATAAAAAACGTTGGACATTTAAAAAAATTTTGAAAAGAGGTTTTCAGTCCCCCTCGTCTGCGTGCTCTTTTACGTTTTTCCTTCGAGCTTCTTTTTATCCTTTGCCAAAAATTTTCTTATTTTCCCTAAATTTTCAATCTCACTTCGTTCAGATTTATCCAACCCACTGTCCCCAAATTTTCACTTCGTATTTACCCCCAAATTTCTCTTCCCGCTTGCCCCCAAATTTCAATTCGTGTTCATCCCAAACCTGTGTTCCATTCATCAAACCTGATCGTTCTTAGCTAAGCAAGTGGTTGTTGCGTTCTCTTCTCCTTCGTCATTGCTTGTCAGCCAAGGTTCATCAAGTGCGGTGGAAGATAGGATTCCCAAGTACTCTTTCTTCCCATTTCCATTTCCCTAAAGCCCTGAGTCGGCATTGAGAGAGATTATCGAAGGATGGGTCCGAACCTAGAATGTTGTATGTACAAGGCGAGGTACCCGAAGGTGGACATGGCGGTGATGGTACAGGTAATTAGATTATGTTTAGTTTATTTGATTCGAGTCGTTGTAAATTATCTTGAATTATTTTATTTTAATCTGGAAAAGATTGATGGAGAAGTATAGCATGGGCAAATTTGGTTATATAGTAAATGGCATTAATGCACGACAATAGNCCTCGACGAGTCTCCCAATAGCCTCCCTTGACGAAGACAGGCACCCTCACGTCACGGGAGCACCCTCCTGACAGCAACGTCCACACACCATGATGTTAACGGACCACCCTCCTGACGGCAACGCCACCGCACTGGTGGAACACCACTCAAACCCTACCCACACAATGCCACCGGACAGATGAGAAAGGGAAAGGGAGAGGGAGAGGAAGAGAAACGTCAAACAAAAGCGAGAGGAAGAGAACGGGAAGCACAAATTGGGAACGAGAACGGAGAAGGAGGGAATGGGGAGCACCACGCGAAGTCGATATAGGTATAGGGTCGTGTCTTGTGAAATTGGGGACGACCTCCTACAATAGCCCCAATTAATTAGTTTAAGGGGTCGAGCCTCTTACCGAAGGCCATAAACCCCTCGGTAATGCTCTTTTGACCTTCGGTAACTACATTTCATTATGCCCGTCTGTAATCCTCAATTTGACCGTCGAAAACACTTATTTATCGACGGTCCTTAGGCCTTCGGTAATAAACCTTCGAAAATAACCTAAATTCTTGTAGTGTAATGAAAATGATTTTCACAAGATAAACATTTTAATCGATTATGAAACTTATGTAATTGGGTAAGTTCCATACTTAAGCAAATTTAAAAATCATTTTCCATTTCAAACACATCAATGCACTTAGCAATGTACACATGTTGGCATAACAACGTGTTTTAATCGATTATACAACTAATGTAATCAGTTAATACACAACTATTTTGCCTCTGTTAAGCATGTACACTAGTGCAATGAAAGGATATTACCTCGGTTGTTTTGGGTTTATGACAGTGGTTCTGCAACCGAGGTATATTCAAGCGAGGTAAAAAGTCAGAATTTTTTGCCTCGGTTCACAAAACCCAAAGCAGTAAAGCAAATAAAAATAAATAAAAATTGGGTCTATTTCCTTGGTTGTAATTTGAACCGAGATCGTAGACCCTTAAATTAATTAATTAAAGGGTCTATTGCCTCAGTTGGATCCAGAATCGAGGTAATAGACCCTTTTTGCCTTAGTTTTTACTAGAACTGTGGTTTAAAGTAATTTATTTAAAAAATAATTATCATTTATGTATCAAATAAACCATATGACAAAATCCCAGAAACACAAACAAACGCAGAAAACATTGTTTTCTATTTATCTGGAATATTTTTTTTGTTTTTTTTCAAACTAAAAAAAAATTAAAATAGTTACACTTTGAAATTTGAGCTGAAAATTTTTGTGAGGTGATTTCATGATTTTTTGGTTCTTCATACAAATTTTCATTTCACTTAGAATTCGTTTGAGCATACTCTCAGTTTTACCTATACCTATGTTTTGATGTGTATGGTGTATGAAAAACAATCAACCAAACAAAAACATGTAAAACCTAAAAGAAAACTAACCTTGAAGGTGAGTTTGGGGCTGAAACGAAACAAAATGAACATCCCAAAGCGTTTATTCGAAGAGCTAAAAAGCACCTGTGCACAAAATCAATCAGTCAAAAGAAAGAAAATCATACCTAAGCACTTAATCAACGTAAAATGAAAGAAAACATGCAAGAAAAGTTGAAGAGGATGGTTGCGAAAAAGGAAGAACAAAGAGCAGCGGCGCAACACCACAAACAGAAAAACTTTTGTCTGAAAATGCCTCTGTTCGCGAAATTTAACCCTAAACAGATGTTATTACCTCAGTTATTTTTTGAACCGAGGCAATAAGGGTCTATGGCCTCAGTTCTATAAAGAACTGCTACGTAAACCCTCTCCAAAAAAGAAAAGAAAAAATTCAGTTATTTTATGTCGTGGTTTAGGCATCGGTTCTCTTTTGAACCGAGACATATATGTTTGCGATAATTACAAAAAGGCCAGTGCGTCAGTTTTAGGTATCGATTCTTTTTTGAACTGAGACATATACTTTTGTGATAATTACAAAAATGTCACCGCGCCAGTTTTAGGCATCGGTTCTTTTTTGAACCGAGGCATATATGTTTGCGATAATTACAAAAATGCCACCGTGCAAATTTTTACTTTGGTTACAACTAAACCGTTGTCAAATGCACGAGTTAAAATCCTTTTTTTTACTAGTGTACTGAAATTTGAAGATATTAACAGATTATATAAAAAGTTTAATCGATTATTTCTTCCAGATATACAAAGTGCAATGTGTTTAAACAATTGATTCATTTTCATACAATGAATACATATACAAAAGCATTTCAAGCAGAAACACAGTAATGATTAAACAATTGTTTTGGCATTTGTTGTGCAAGAAACCATAAAACATTTCTTTTGTTCATCATCAAAAACACATATGTGAGATGGATTTTTCTAGATATAGCTCCCCTATCAACAATATCTTTTTCACGAGCTTTGCAAAACAACAATTGCTTAATAAATCCTATTGATCAACTTACTTTATAATACTCATCTGACACTACATTGTGAAAATAATTTTAAAACACTATTCAACCCACTCTCCCTTCTAATGTTTCTTGTGGTTTCATACATCCTTCCATGATGTTCGAAAAATTACATTGAAATATCCTCAATTCTAACCACCGTCAAATGGTTAAAGCTATAAAACTTAAAGAAAGTAAAAAAAAAAGCTATAAAACTTAAGAAAGTAAAAAAAAAATCAAAGTTCTCTAAAATAAACTAATCCAAATTCGCAAATAGTTTCAAAATCAGTCATAGTTATTTTATATATTTATCTAAACCCACTTCTAACACCCATAATGACAAGTTTCATTCTTCATAAATCACCTTTACCTACATCAATAATCAAACCATATAAAATGCCTTTAGTGAAATTTTACAAAAGCGAACGATATATGGTAATTACCTTTATAGGAACATCGTTATTGACCACATTACATTATAAAGATCCAAGAAACCAATTCAAAACATTTTCAGCAATTTTGGTGATTCCGTAACACAATACAAGACCTCAAAAGTTTGGAGATCCCAATCATACATAAAACAACAACAAAGATATCATTTTGTTGGGTGAATAGCATACCAAGTTTGGACAAAGGTTAGGACAAGACCCACAACTGCAGCGTGGAAAGCAATAATGGCCCAAGGGTTGCTGAAATAAGTATTATACCCAAGAGCCAACCAAGTCCTAAGTTTATCCTTATAATGCTTCTCAATTTGATTTCTAAGATGAACATATTTCCCCATATCAGGCACTAAATCAGTGCTAAGGGTATTAAAAAGGTCAGCCACTTCCTCATCACTCCCTAGTGAATTAAGCAAAATTCGTTCTTGTCTGAGTTCCTTCACATCATCTGGGTGGTCTATGAGTGAGTCTAAGAAGGACACATAAGAGCAAATCCCATAGTCATTCTGAAAATCGGGACACATCTCATACGCTATCAGGTTTAGCACAGTAGCAGCTGTTGTGTCATCCACAACTATCTCGGGAAGCTTCAGTGTTGAATGAAACCAACCAAGGGAGAATGATATGTCTGCTGGCCTTCGTGTCTTACTTGANAAATAAATGTAACCATTTAATCTATTTTGAAATTATTAACTCAATTCCTCCATCATGATGTTTCCTACTCTTTCTACATCTTCAAAATGCTAAACACTAATAAAAGACTAAAGACATAATAATAAAGTTATTTGTTTATATAGTATCCTTTCCAACCATAGTTTATATCATATCCTTTACAACCACACAACCATTGTTGAGTGGGTTGGTGTGTCACTTTATAGGGCAAAGTTGGCACAATCAATAGGTTATATATTATTTGTTATGAAGTTAAATGCAACAAAAAAAAAGAGTCACTTTTATAGCAAAAAGGAAATAAAAGAAAAAAACATTTATGTTCACGTTTCAAATTATTTAATCTTTTCCCTCTTAGTTATCTAGTGGGAGACTATTGAATTGACAATGTTACTACAATTGAAGAGAACTTGACATTGATGGGTTCTACTTTCTACTTTTTGAACATGTTTTTCTTGGGTGAAATTAATCATATTTTTCTATTTTGTCATACAAAAAAATCACCTCCCTATCTCAAGACACCTTTCTCCCTTACATAGCTAACCCCCTAAAAGACATTACACAGCTTAACAACCCTGGCATAACAGCCCCAACACCTCTTAATAGACTATGTATAATTTTTATTCCCAATTCTCCTAACGTAGATCCTCATCGTTACTGTAAAATTGGCTAAAGATAATACTCAAGCGTTTTTTTAAATAAATGTTATTTATGAACGTGCAGAACAATAGATAATAATTATTTAAAAAAGAACTATTTAAAAATGTGACAATAGACCACGCTTCCTTAGAAAAATACTATCTATAGATAATTAATATTACCTCTTTCATTCATAATTTAAAATAAATCAATAAATAACGTTTTTTTTTAAAAGTGTTATCTATTTCAACACAATAGATAAAAAACGTTGGACATTTAAAAAAATTTTGAAAAGAGGTTTTCAGTCCCCCTCGTCTGCGTGCTCTTTTACGTTTTTCCTTCGAGCTTCTTTTTATCCTTTGCCAAAAATTTTCTTATTTTCCCTAAATTTTCAATCTCACTTCGTTCAGATTTATCCAACCCACTGTCCCCAAATTTTCACTTCGTATTTACCCCCAAATTTCTCTTCCCGCTTGCCCCCAAATTTCAATTCGTGTTCATCCCAAACCTGTGTTCCATTCATCAAACCTGATCGTTCTTAGCTAAGCAAGTGGTTGTTGCGTTCTCTTCTCCTTCGTCATTGCTTGTCAGCCAAGGTTCATCAAGTGCGGTGGAAGATAGGATTCCCAAGTACTCTTTCTTCCCATTTCCATTTCCCTAAAGCCCTGAGTCGGCATTGAGAGAGATTATCGAAGGATGGGTCCGAACCTAGAATGTTGTATGTACAAGGCGAGGTACCCGAAGGTGGACATGGCGGTGATGGTACAGGTAATTAGATTATGTTTAGTTTATTTGATTCGAGTCGTTGTAAATTATCTTGAATTATTTTATTTTAATCTGGAAAAGATTGATGGAGAAGTATAGCATGGGCAAATTTGGTTATATAGTAAATGGCATTAATGCACGACAATAGTTTATATAACGTGCAATTTATTTTTTAAGGCTTTAACAAGTTCACTCGTACAAATAATTAAAAAAAAACAATACCTTAACAAATTATGATGAAGTATTTAAAATGAATAAGAGATATAGTTGCATCATATGATATATTAAATACTGCACCAGCCATATTATGTTATTCATGCATACGTTGTTGTTAGTTATCTGAATTTTAGGAAGCATTTTACTCACATTGTGTATATAGATTCCATTTATTTGTTTCCATTTCGCAGGAAAAACCCTCAACAGAAGAGAACTGAGATATTGTCCATACTTGTTGTTATGGGATTCACTTTTGAGGAGGCTTGCACAACTATAGACAAATGTGGTGTGTTTAGTGTGTAATTGTTTTTCTTATATATGTTATCAACACTTTTTAAGTTTCTTTTTTTTTTTTCTTTCGTCTCTCCAGTATCAGCAGTATTAAATGGTCTAAAATGGTCAATTAAATAATGGAAAAGGAGATTTGCCTGGTGGTGGTTCTTAAATATTTATTTCTGAGCGACATTTGTCAAGTCCTAAAGCTGAGATCGGTGACTTGGTATATTTCATCAGTGCTTCTCAATTAGAAGATGAAATTGACTCACTTCAAGATCTGCATAAAAATAAACATGTTGCATCTGTTGATACCCAAACAGAGGTGAGGTTTATAATCCTATGAAATTAGTGCTTCTTGTAATTAAAATATCAGTAAAACAAGTAGTTTTTATCAAATTATGTTATATCTTCTGGTCTTCCATCTAGCGAAGGGATTATCTTCGTACATGTAAATAAGGATGACTTAATATTAAGAGTTACCATGCATTAAATCTGTTTGGAGTTTACTTGAGTTCTGGATTGTTGTTATGTTCAAATTATAAAGATGTTTTCAACTTTTTGTTTTCTTGTGTCCAAAACAATCCAACGACAATAATTGTGGGTATTACATGTGTTATATGAAAGAAATTATCATACAATGTGAAGAAGGGATAATTCCAACTTATGTAAGTTATCTTTATTGTCATAATTAATTTGTAGTAAAAATTTAATTAACTAATTTTATATTATTTTTCTTTCTTGCAGTATTTTTCTAGTTATAGATGTCAACAATTTCGTGACAATCAATGTAGAACACATAAGTTCTCCTCCTAACTCACAGCAACAGGAACATAATCCTCTTGATTGTAATGTTAACATTGATTCTCAAAGAGTACATCTGAAGTGTAGTTTTTATCAATAATGTATTAGCACAACTATCTTGCAAGAATCTTGATGATTTCTTTCCAAATGTATCATCTTGATTATCCAAGTCTTAGAACGCTCCTGCAATCAATATGACGCACAACGTGTCTATGAAAGTGTAAGTTCATGTAATTGTATTGAATATGACGCACAACGTGTCTATTTATATATTTTTTTCAAACCAGACACAGTGTAATCGATTACACTTTTAATGTAATCTTTTAAGTTTTTTCTTCTACTTTAATAGTTTTACATCTGTTTCAGATTTAACAGATTAAACAGCACATGCAATCGATTAAATAAATCATACAAGCCAACAATAAACAAATATGAATGTCATAGGCAGTTATGGCTTTTAATGAAAATGATTTTCACAAGATAAACATTTTAACCGATTATGAAACTTATGTAATTGGGAGTTCCATACTTAAGCAAATTTAAAAATCATTTTCCATTTCAAACACATCAATGTACTCAGCAAACACATGTTGACATAATAATGTGTTTTAATCGATTATACAACTAATGTAATCAGTTAATATATAGCTATTTTGCCCCTGTTAAGCATGTACACTAGTGCAACGAAGGGATATTGCCTCGGTTGTTTTGGGTTTATGACAGTGGTTCTACAATCGAGGTATATTCAGGCAAGGTAAAAAGTCAAAATTTTTTGCCTCGGTTCACAAAAACCAAAGTAGTAAAGCAAATAAAAAGAATAAAAATTGGGTCTATTGCCTCGATTCTAATTTGAACTGAGGTCGTAGACCCTTAAATTAATTAATTAAAGGGTTTATTGCCTCAGTTGAATCCAGAACCGAGGTAATAGACCCTTTTTGCCTTAGTTTTTAGTAGAACTGCAGTTTAAAGTAATTTTTTTAAAAAATAATTATCATTTATGTATCAAATAAACCATATGACAAAATCCCAAAAACACAAACAAACGCAGAAAGCATTATTTTCTATTTATCTGGAATATTTTTTTATTTTTTTTTCAAACTAAAAAAAAATTAAAATAGTTACACTTTGAAATTTGAGCTGAAAATTTGTGAGGTGATTTCATGATTTTTTGGTTCTTCATACAAATTTTCATTTCACTGAGAATTCGTTTGAGCATACTCTCAGTTTTACCTATACCTATGTTTTGATGTGTATGGTGTATGAAGAAAAATCAACCAAACAAAAACATGTAAAACCTAAAAGAAAACTAACCTTGAAGGTGAGTTTGGGGTTGAAACGAAACAGAATGAACATCCCAAAGCATTTAATCGAAGAGCTGAAAAGCACCTACAAAATCAATCAATCAAAAAGAAAGAAAATCATACCTAAGCACTTAATCAACGTAAAATGAAAGAAAAAATGCAAGAAAAGTTGAAGAGGATGGCTGCGAAAATGGAAGAACAAAGAGCAGCGGTGCAACACCAAACATAAAAGCTTTTGTCTGAAAATGCCTCTGTTCACGAAATTTAACCCTAACCATATGTTATTACCTCAGTTATTTTTTGAACCGAGGCAATAAGGGTCTATGGCCTCGGTTCTATAAAGAACCATGGTGTAAACCCTCTCCAAAAAAGAAAAGAAAAAATTCAGTTATTTTATGTCGTGGTTTTAGGCATTGGTTCTCTTTTGAACCGAGGCATATACGTTTGCGATAATTACAAAAAGGCCAGTGCATCAGTTTTAGGTATCAGTTCTTTTTTGAACTGAGACATATACGTTTGTGATAATTACAAAAATGTCATCGTGCCAGTTTTAGGAATCGGTTCTTTTTTGAACCGAGACATATATGTTTGCGATAATTACAAAAATGCCACTGTGTAAATTTTTACTTTGGTTACAACTAAATCGTTGTCAAATGCACAAGTTAAAATTCTTTTTTTACTAGTGTATTGAAATTTGAAGAAATTTAACAAATTATATAAAAAGTTTAATCGATTATTTCTTTCAGATATACAAAGTGCAATGTGTTTAAAAAATTGATTCATTTCCATACAATGAATACATATACAAAAGCATTTCAAGCAGAAACACAGTAATGATTAAGCAATTGTTTTGTCATTTGTTGTACAAGAAACCATAAAACACTTTTTTTGTTCATCATCAAAAACACATATGTGAGATGGATTTTTCTAGATATAGCTCCCATATCAACAATATCTTTTTCACGAACTTTGCAAAACAACAATTACTTAATAAATCCTATTGATCAACTTACTTTATAATGCTCATCTGACGCTACATTGTGAAAACAATTTTAAAACACTATTCAACTCACTCTCCCTTCTAATGTTTCTTGTGGTTTCATACATCCTTCCATGATGTTCGAAAAATTACATTGAAATATTCTCAATTCTAACCACCGGCAAATGGTTAAAGCTATAAAACTTAAAGAAAGTAAAAAAAAAAGCTATAAAACTTAATAAAGTAAAAAAAAATCAAAGTTCTCTAAAATAAACTAATCCAAATTCGCAAATAGTTTCAAAATCACTCATAGTTATTTTATATTTATCTAAACCCACTTCTAACACCCATAATGACAAGTTTCATTCTTCATAAATCACCTTTACATACATCAATAATCAAACCATATAAAATGCCTTTAGTGAAATTTTACAAAAGCGAACTATATGTGGTAATTACCTTTATAGGAACATCGTTATTGACCACATTACATTATAAAGATCCAAGAAACCAATTCAAAACATTTTCAGCAATTTTGGTGATTCCGTAACACAATACAAGAACTCAAAAGTTTGGAGATCCCAATCATACATAAAACAACAACAAAGATATCATTTTGTTGGGTGAATAGCATACCAAGTTTGGACAAAGGTTAGGACAAGACCCACAACTGCAGCGTGGAAAGCAATAATGGCCCAAGGGTTGCTGAAATAAGTATTATACCCAAGAGCCAACCAAGTCCTAAGTTTATCCTTATAATGCTTCTCAATTTGATTTCTAAGATGAACATATTTCCCCATATCAGGCACTAAATCAGTGCTAAGGGTATTAAAAAGGTCAGCCACTTCCTCATCACTCCCTAGTGAATTAAGCAAAATTCGTTCTTGTCTGAGTTCCTTCACATCATCTGGGTGGTCTATGAGTGAGTCTAAGAAGGACACATAAGAGCAAATCCCATAGTCATTCTGAAAATCGGGACACATCTCATACGCTATCAGGTTTAGCACAGTAGCAGCTGTTGTGTCATCCACAACTATCTCGGGAAGCTTCAGTGTTGAATGAAACCAACCAAGGGAGAATGATATGTCTGCTGGCCTTCGTGTCTTACTTGACATGAATTCAATCCCTGCTGCTTTCAACTCCTTTATGTTCCTACATAATTTAGACACACAAATTATAAGTTATACCAAAGCATCACGTATTTATGATTATGTAGGTCTTTTTACATATATAAGGCAAATTTACCCAGATATTACCAAGATATATAAGTTAAAAAAGTATTAGTGGTCATGAGATAAGTATTGTGAACTCATAACTGTTATAAACTTGTATTGCAAACCTTTTTTTTTTTCGAAAGAAATATAGGAACGTTGCATGATGATTATTTCTTCTCTGCACGGTCTAATATATTTTTCCCCAAGGATTAAGATGTAAATTTTGTGAACGGTTTTGACCAGGATCTAAAGTGCAAACTCTAGGGGTAGTTTCCACCAGACCGTGAGCCTTTTCCCATCTCTTATTTTACTCTATAAACGGTGCATTCTTTTGCTCTTCCAAAACACAAAACACTTTTCTCTTATTATCTTTTTTTTTTCTTAGTTTCATTATTTCTCTCTTTTCTTTCCTAAAGTTATTTTAGGTTTATTTTCTACTCTTTTTTAGAGTTCTTTGCTAATTCTAGTATCCTGACTTTTAAAAAGTTTCAGTTATATCTTGAGAAACATGCGTAATACACTAAGGATAAGTCTTTAAGAACAATGATTTACATGTTTTGAAAAATCTTAGTTCGATTATTTTGTCAACTTTTCTACAATAATAACCACTTCAAAAGCAAAGTCATAAAAACTATACATGTTTTCTTCATAAATTAATAAGTCGTAATTACTCTTGTCCACTCTTGTCCACACGACTTAGCTCATAACCATTAATATGTTTTTGACTTATTTTGAACAATTTTTTTCCAAGTACAAAGACAAACTAATTATATAAGAATGTCACATCATTAAGCTCTCATTTCTCAATCATTTACACTTTGTTCACTTGAATGGATTTTGGAGAGAGTGATTGAATGAATTTGAGAGGATTTGAAGATAAATTTGTTGTTGTTTATTTAAATGGATTTCGAAGTAAGTGAGAGTGAATTTGAAAATAAATATTTTTAATCTGTCACATCAATCAAATCTTATACTAATTCTTACAAACTTTACTTTCAAATTCACTCTCACTTATCTTCAAATCCACTCAAATAAACAATGAAAAAAAATTTACCTTCAAATCCTCTCAAATTCATTCAATCACTTTCCCTTAAATTCATTAAAATAAACAAAGTCTTATTTTTCTCTTTAATAGTTCCTATTTTTCTCTTTAATGTGAGTAAATGGTTGGAGACAATTTAAACTGTACCTGTATGTTACCATGTCGTCTTGGTTTTCAGGTGAAACATCTTGAGCCTCGCTTCCGTTACCGATGTGGCGCTTTGGAACACAGCATCCTTTCTTGTCAGTGTTTTGAGTTGGAGGTTTATAAAGGATGATAGAACGTTGAAGGTCAAGAAGATGAGTAGGCTGTGGGAAATCCGCTGTAAAGTTTACCTGATCTTCTTTGGTGGCCCAATGGTGGCAACGGAGGAACCCTTTCATAATTTCCATGAGGTTTTCTTTGGAGTCCCTCCATAGATGTTTGAGCAACAGGAACGGAAGCTGATTCTCCAGCAGAAGCGCGTCCTGCATCACCAGCACAAGCTGGTCTACCTTCACGTTCATTTTATACGGTTTGTGGAGCTTCGCATGTTCCAGAATGTGAAGAAGGGCACACCCGTCCACGAGCAGCATCCAACTGATCATGTCCTCCGGAGATCCATAACCTTGTTTCTCGTACTCTGAAAACCTTTGATTTTGGGTGAAAAGATCGTCGTCAAAGAGGGGCTTCAAGGATTCCATGTTTTGTACAACCTTTTTGTGCAGTTCTTGGGGGGATATTTTGGTGCTGCCAATGTACTCTGCTGCCCACATTTTTTTGTACTGTTCTCCCAGGTGTAGATTGAGATCACCATGGTGGATGGGACCAAATGACACTAACTTTGGAGAGTAGTACTTGCTGAAATTCTTTCGATTTCGGAGAAGGTGTGGTGGTACTCGTTGGATTTTGGCGTTTTGGGGGGCTGGTGAAGGTGTTTACTTTGCCTTTTGAAGCTCCTGGAGCCTTTCTTGAAGGTTTGAAATGGAAGTTGCAGACATTGTTTGATGACAAGAAAATTATTATTGTGGGGATGTAGATGGGAGAGGCTTGTGTGGGTAGTAACAGATTTTCTGATCGAGATTATTTTACTATCATAGGGATTTGTGTATTGTTATCTGAATAAAGTTTACTTGCTAAGTACATTTGAGTAAATTCTAGGCAAGGAATAAAGATCCCTCACTCACTGTTCTAGACTTTCATTTAATAAAGGGGAAGGATTTCTTTTTCCCATTGGAATTTGGAGAGCATGACTTTACGAGCAAGTTGTTCACGCACCTTGTGTCTCCTTCCTTTCGTCTTTTATTTCATTTCCTGTTTACTTTGTATTACTTTTATGCTTATACGTGCATGCACATGTTCTATCCTTTAGCTTCTATCGTGGTTCTTTTGCTTAATTAATTGAATCCTTGATTTTCGTTTGAATACTTGGAACTAAACATTCACATTTCACATTTAGATAACTATCATTTTAATATCCAATAGAGATTTTTTTTTTTAGTCTTTTTACTCTAAACACCATAATTACAAGAACTAAAATGGGTCTTGATCCATTACAGGAAATGTGCGTTTTTCCGGCGGCCT